TCAAGAACTTAAACCCTAGACAACCTAAAACGAGGCGGTTTTCACGAAACACAATTACGTAGCGAAGTCACGCGCACAATTTCCAAAATTCTAGACCCTAATCCAAAAAAAAAACCGTTCTCGCGAAACCTCAGCGGCGGGCATCGAAAGACACCAATTAACTGCCCAGCCGACGTCGAGTCGAGCTACTACCAACTACTCTCTCGCCCGACAGCGCCAAAACGCTGGGAAGCTCCCTTCCGCTGCCCCCTCCCCGCAACACGCGTGACACCTGGCACCATCGGGCGATTCACGAAGTCGAACGTGATTGGATGTCGTACAAATTACCTTTTTTGGGCCTAAACAAATACATTTTTAAAATTATTCTCCAATAAATTTTCCTGTACTACTAACGACTATACCTATTTTACATGCGATGCCTGTTTTAAGCACTTGAAGTGAAAGATAAATAATAAATATTAAGTCCTATCGAGGCATATTTGAGATAACATTTCCACCTCTTCTTTATCGATTTATGATCATAGTGACCTCTTGGCATAGTGTCGAGAACAAGCAACTATGTAGATGCTATATTAGCGCTAAGAGACACTTATTGGTCTCAGCCTATCTGTGCTGCTATGTAACGTAACGTATACCGGTAAAGTAAGAGATAGGCTTAGCCAAAGACTGTGACCAATCACAACGCAATTACATTTGAAAACTAAAAATGTGTTTTTGATCAAATGTTGGCTCTAGTTGGAATTCGAATCAATGACGGTATCCTCCACTTATTCTGCAACCAAGGCGGCGCCACTTAGAAACGGGGTGAAATATTTGACAGATTTCATAGCGAGGAAGGTTTAAAGTGGGAAAAGTGTACATTTTAATGTTTGTTTCTGCAATGTTAGTTATATTTTATATGAATTAGATTAGAAGTGGATAAAACAAACTACGTATATTCCTAAAAGTAGAAGAATTAAAAAAGTTAAAAATGTGTAAAAAAATTAAAGAATACACCACTGAGGCTTTGTTTTATTTATACATACACTAGAGACCGAAAAACTTATAATTAAATCGCAAGTTTTCCATGATGATGACACTGTGTGACCATCCGCGTGACAAATAAATTCACCTTAGTCCCAACTAGCGACAACTGGTAGTCGTGAGATTACTAGCCACCATTGTGTTCCAGAAGTCGCGATCTAACAGCCAGAGCTCTAAATACTAGACTACGCAGTGGACTTTTAAAATTTAAAGCTTACGACAACGAAGAAATATGAAGTGATTGATGATTTAATTTGAATACACCGTCTCTCTAAGTTCGGTAGTCAGGGCCTGTACGGTGCAACACCTTTGATTGTGTTTAAATCATACATCATGAGATCAAGTAAAGGGTGTGGTATAACAAGACCAAATATCTATATAGTCCTTCGAGGAAACTGATCAGTGTTTTGTGGATCTCAAGTGCAGTGCGATCGGTTCGGTTTACCTTCCACCAGCGGGTCTCACCAGCCGAATTGAGACGGCGTTCTACATGTACTGAGAGTCTGCAAATATAGTAAGAACCAGTAACAATACCAAGCACTAGACCAAGAATATCAAGTATACCACAAGCATAGCAAATTTGAATCAAGTACAAGCATTCACCAAGCAAACCAAGCAAGCATTCACCAAGCACACCAAACAAGCACACCAAGCTGAAGGATTTCACAAGCAAAGCACAAGCATATCAAGCAAGCGTAGCAAGGTTATTTACGTGGTAGAGCTATGCTGCAGCTATATTACTGGTATAGTTGTAGCACGAATGAGTCGGCTCGACCGGGGAAGGACCACGCTCTCACAGAATACCAGCGTAAAATAGCAGCTTAATCTTGCTGTGTTTCGTATGGTGAGTGTAGAGAACCGGAGACCCTTTTTACTGGAAAAGAGGCATTCCATCTTAGTCCTCACGGGTGACAACGCATCTGCATTTTGATTCGTAATAGAGGATAGATGCAGATGTCTATGGGCCACAGCAACCACTTACCATCAGGTGGACTGTGTGCTCGTTTGTCACCCTTATCCTATAAAAAAAATATTTTTCAAAAACAAGCAAAACAAGTAGGTAAGTGATTTTTTACCACGGTTTAACGTATCAACTGCTTTACCAAGTAACACCAAGTAATGTCAATCATGAAAAATCTCTTAGCAAATAAACAACAAGTTATAGATGGCATTAATCAAATATTTGTAAATTTCAAGAAAGATGGTCAAAAGCAGGAATTCCTTAATAATCATGTTGAGTTGTGCGCTTTTCCAGACAAGTCTCTTGCTTATTTTACTAATAATACGTACGAAAAAACCAAGGCAAATTATGAGAATATAAAAGCTACAATAAAAGCGTACTTACCGAAGTCGGAACATCTCAGTCTGCATCCCGGCTCTGATCAGCAAGTGAGAGTGGTCATAATTGAAACCAAGAATGGCTACCTCAAAAGGTCGATAGTGAAATTATCGCTACTACCTGTAAATCAAGACTCAGATTGCAGCGATAATAACACAAACAAACCATCATCAAGAACGATCAACAAACAAGAGCCCCTCGATCTGTTAAGAAACCTCGAGTTCATTTCTCCTCGCTGGCGTCGGTTATGCTATTTTTCTTGAGCATACTTAGCACTTCGTCATGTTTTTTTCTTAACAAACCTCTGAAGTCAACCCAAGGAATATATTTCGACAGTCTCTGACTGCAAGTAACTTCCCTACTAGCAAGGGATGAAGACCTTTGACCAATATTTTAATTACTTGCAAACAACATGCGATAAATTACAAGAAGACAAATGTAAAATTATACTGTGGCAACTAAGTCATAGTTACTCCGAGTTACAATAATATAATACTATTTTTATACGTGGTAGAGCCATGCTACAGCCGTGGTTGTAGCACGAATGGGTCGGCTCGACCGGGGAAGGACCATGCTCTCACAGAATACCAGCGTAAAATAGCAGCTTAACGCTGCTGTGTTTCGTATGGTGAGTGTAGAGATCCGGAGATTCTTTTTACTGGAAACGAGGCATTCCATCTGAGTCCTCACGGGTGACAACGCATCTGCATTTTGATTCATAATCGAAGATAGATGTAGATGTCTATGGGCCACAGCAACCACTTACCATCAGGTGGACTGTGAGCTCGTTTGTCACCCTTATCCTATAAAAATAAAACCACATTCGAGCACGCGCTTGCGCCGCCGCCGACGACTGATTGCAGACATTAGACGAGAATTTTGCTACAAATACCAAAAAGACATAAAGCTCATCCTTGATGATCAGCAGCATCTAGCGACATTGTGGCAAAATCAATAGTCGAGGCAGAGTATGACTTACTTAAAAAGAGCGAAGAATCTATGAACAAGCAGCATAAGTTAATAAACAGACAGATGCTAAATATAGAAAACGCCGTGAACATATTAAACTCAGAGGTCGTCAACATATCTAAGTGAATCAATTAACTTTGACAGCCGTAGCTGCAAGCAATATGATACAGGAATCACGAAGCGTGCAAGAATCATTGCTGGACACGATCACATATATTTATCATGGGAGATTTAATTTTGAATTTAATCTCTTGTCTCCAGAGCAGCTTAGAAATAAACTCGGTGTCATAGCAAGTCAAATATCGAAGGAGCTGGCCTTACCAATCGATAACGTACAAGCAAGCCTTCAAAGTATCTATCATCTCTTAACAATAAAGGTCAGAATTTGCGAAGATTACCTATTGTTTGAGATAAAGGTGCCGCTCATCAGTAGAGATTCCTTCGAAATATTTCATCTTATTCCAGTACCGACCAAGATTAATAACAGCAAGATGGTTAACACGATACTAATATTGAAATACGTGGCCATAAACCTAGCAAAGGAGGATGCGTACATTATGATGGATATAGATGAAATTTCGTCATGCAGTCAGCAAAATGACATTTACTTATGTCACTTGAAGAAACCAATTTACCATCTCTCACAAGACGAGGAATTCTGGGACTTCAATAATAGTAAACAATAGTGTAAAACTGTTGTGAACTCCTGCAATAATAAATGGACTGAAGTAAGCAATATAAACAAGTACTTATGTTTTTGTTGTAAGAGGTGTCAGTTACGAGTGATGTGCGAGGGTCAGGTGACCGCACCACAGATGGAGCGCGCCGGTATCGTCTGCATTTCACACAGGTGCATTGTCAAGTCCGTCCTATTTACGGTGCACGCTCGTAACCTTGACCGCAGCGTTATCAAGGTGAGCCCAGACATCAAGGTTGAAGACCTCAGTCCGATAAACAATATCATCAACTCATCGATCCCGATGTCGTCTATAGTAGGTGAAACCATTAATGACCGCCAAAAACAATTTTCGGACTTAGAAAAACAGTTAAAAGATTTGAAAGAGCAGGCGGTGTTGACAAGTAATGTATCATACCATGATGTGCATCATTATGCTCTCATATACATCATGATCGGCGCAGCAATTATCGTGGGTGCAGGTCTGGCGTGGCGGCGAATGCGACCAGCACGGTTAGCAAGAGCCAACTCTCCGGCAGTACCCCCGGCGGAGGACCTCGTACGGACCTGTACGGTGCAACACCGTGCATTCTCCCGCGTCGGCATTTTAGTAATTATACACTATGCGCGACTGACCTCATTATTACTATTTTACATTTTTAGTGTTTTTGTTTTTACCTATCAATACGATCGCGTGAGTCCTTATATTTTTATATTTTTACCAAGTTTCGTATATTGTGAAATCTCAATAAATAAATTTGTTTTTTCTTCAGATTGTGTTTAAATCATACATCATCAGATCAAATAAAGGGTGTGGTATAACAAGACCAAACAGGTCCAATCTCGAGCTTCAACTCATACTCCATAATATCAAAATCTGTAGCGTATAGTATTCGACTAGACACAAATTTTTACATTGTGGTGTTTGAGTTCAAACTCGAGATTGTCTCCGAGTACCGGCTAAAGATTTACCAAAAAATTTAAAATATTTACCGAAGAGGTCGATGCTACTCTGGTGGTTAAGCAACACCACGGCGCCTCGTGAGTCATCTACATTTTCTAGACCCCGCACCTTCCACCGTATCCCTAGCAATCTCGACGAAAACCTCAACAATGCTGCTGGTATCCTAGAGCAAAAAAAAAACAAAAGTACTTATATCAAATTATATATTTAATGGTTTTTTTTTTCATTATAAGTATTAGAAAATAGTTTTAAAACATCTAAATGTGATTTTCAAACTGTATGACTTACAATGCTAAGCTTAAAATGTATTCATAAGTTTTTCAAAATTTTATCATTCATTAAAAAAAATCATGTTTATGTCTGATCAAATGATTGTATCAACTTTTGTCAGTTTTACTAACGCACAAAATATTTTAGTTCCACGAAGACGTGTACCGGTTCTTATCTTTATTTCAAAATCTTTACCTTGACACTAAAATATAATTTAACGTTTATTAGGTCTGTCACTGACAAGTGCACAAAGTCTCAATATTTTAAACTAAGTACTAATATGATAAAAATAGGTATAGGTAAGTCGATGCTGTCGCTGAAATCTATAATCAATTTTTAAAAGCGTTGTCAACGTAGAGTGCTAAGATGGTTCTCTACACTCACAATACAAAACAGAGCAGCATTGTGATTATGCTGCAATTCTACGCTAGTACTCTGTGAAAAAAAAAAGAAAATTTAGTGACCTGAAACTTTGAGTTGATACTGATTTTATTAAAATTAGTTTGACGGCCAGTGGTCGGAATAAAACTCTGCCTTTTTGTACTAACATACCTATTTGCTGCAAGGCTGTCAACATTATAGATACGTCATACTCGCTCTAAAATGGCAATACGAAAGTCAGGTAATTGCCCGATTCGCATTCAGTCGAGCACGCTCTCGCGTCGCAGCTACACCTGCGATACAGCGCGTAAATCTTCTAGTTATTCGTGGTAAAAATGCCTTTCTGTGTTTTTAGGTGGTGCACAAATTACACGGCAACTGTTGAAAAACGTCTCATTAATATTTTGAATATAGATGTTTTGTTCATAATTGGTTTTACTATTGAAATAGTAAAACCAATTATGAACAAAGTGTTAGTGTGTTCATTTCCATATCGGTATGTCACGCGCTCGCGCCAATGAGCGCTCAGCAGCAATCAATACGCAACTAATGATGTATATTCATCTTTTTCTAACGATAGGTATGCCGTATCATTTTTCACTTTTTGTTAGCGCAACGTGTCATAATAAATAACTGTACGTAGACATAGTACTACCTGCGCCACTTTAAAATACAATAATGTTAGTGTGTAACTTGTCTATCTTTTTAATACGTCTTTGGTCACACTAGGCTGTCACAGTCGTTTTGTCTCTTTCTAGAGAGTGGACACTTTTGTAAAGCTAACGCTCAATCCAATCTCTGTGATTTTATCCAAATAGTTTGAGCCGTTTTCGATAAAGCAATTACATATAATATATACAGGAACTGCTTACTTTGATAAGTATAATGTATGTGTAAAGGAGGCAGAATCTATACATATCTATACATATAATAAATCTGTAGAAAAGCAATGTCTGTTATTGTAACATATTTTTGAAAAAACAAGTCCATATTACTAAATAAAGTGTGCTGAAGCTAAATTAGTGATTTTTAGAATTTTTGTCTGTCTGTCTGTCTCTCTGTGTATTACCGATTCACGCAAAAACTACTGGACCAATTTCCATAAAATTTTATATGTAGGTAGTTAGTACCCCGGGGCAACCTATAGGCTATTTTTATCCGATTACGAAACTTACAAAAGAAGGTTAAGTATTTTTCTTCCTTTAGATGTTAATTTTCTATTATATATGATTATTTTAGTAAATAGGCGGGATGACGGGTGTTTTTAAAAGAAATATTATATTTGTAAATTTAGTTTAAATTAGTTTTAACCTTTTTGTGGTTTTGCCGTGTAATGGCGGTTAAGAATATCCACTACCCCATATCTTCCCGTAGGTGTCGTAAAAGGCGACAAAGGGATACAGGCAGGAGATGGGCAGCAGTATCTTCCTGGTAACGGCAAAAATACAATAAAAAACTGCGGTTGCCAACCCGCTCGCCAAGCGTGGCAACTATGGCAATATACCCCCCATGATGAAAGTTACGAAGAGACCGCCCCCATTCCCCGGCGGCCCCGCTATTCCTGGCTACGGTGGCGACCATGGTAACGGCGGGGCAGGGGGTGCTAAGAATCTCCGGTGGAGGTTCGGTTGCCACCTACGATGACTCGACCTGGCAACATACAACGCACGCACCCTGAGGGCTGACGAGAAGATTGTGGAGCTGGAAGAAGAGATGGACAAGTTACGCTGGCATATTATAGGATTATCCGAAGTCCGAAGAGAGGGGGAGGACACGGTAATCCTCGAATCCGGCAACTTGCTCTATTACCGGGAGGGCGACCATCTGTCCCAAGGAGGTGTCGGATTTATCGTCCAAAAGTCTCTCGTTAACAACGTTGTAAAGATTGAGAGTGTGTCGACAAGGGTTGCGTACCTTATACTCAGAATCACCAAACGGTATTCGCTGAAGGTCATACAGGTTTACGCACCAACCTCGGCACACCCCGATCAGGAGGTGGAGGAAATGTATGAGGATATCTCTAGAGCCATGCATTCCTCCAAAACCCAATATACGGTGTTAATGGGAGACTTCAATGCAAAACTAGGCACAAGAGAGAACGGTGCGCTGAAAGTGGGGAAATTTGGAATAGGGCAACGGAACCCAAGAGGCCAGCAGCTGGCCGACTTCATGGAGAAACAGGGACTCTTTATGATGAACTCTTTCTTCCAGAAGCGGCCCCACAGGAAGTGGACCTGGTCGAGCCCCGACGGTTCGACAAAAAATGAGATTGACTTCATTATGACGACCAGACGACAACTGTTCAGTGATGTCTAAGTGATCGCGAGGGTGAAAACCGGCAGCGATCACCGAATGGTTAGAGGCACACTGAACCTAAACGTTAAGTTGGAGAGGTCTCGTCTAATGAAGTCAATGCTCCGTCCCCCTCGTGCTCTGTTCCAAAGTCCTGACACCTTTCAGCTCGAGTTACAAAACCGTTTTCAGTGCCTAGAAGACTGCAATGAAGTAGACGATTTGAATAACAAGCTCGTGGAAACTGTCCATGCGGTCAGAGCTAAGTTTTACAAGACTCGCCGCAAAAGAACACAAAAACTCTCCGATCACACTCTTAATCTCATGGCTGTTAGACGGGAGATAAAGCTACATTCTTCAACAGATTTGACAGCATACAGGCAACTGAACAGACAGATCTGCATGCGGCGGGACTTACGCAACTTCAATACAGCTCGTATTGAAGAAGCGATCGAGCGGAACCAAGGCTCCAAAGCCTTTGCCAGAGATCTGTCTGCCAGAAAGAGCCAACTGTCAAAGCTGAAGACCGAATGTGGCAGCATCGTTTCCGGGGCACCTGAGATTTTGAGTGAAATTGAGAGGTTCTATGGGCAGCTGTACACGTCATCGTTGGAGCCGCACGCAAGTGTGAGTAACGATCCAAAAGCGAGTCTTATCCGACATTATTCCGATGATATCCCGGACGTCAGTCTGAGCGAGATTAGAATGGCTCTCCAGCACCTTAAAAACGGCAAGGCCCGAGGCGAGGATGGAATTACAGCGGAGCTTCTGAAAGCGGGTGGAAAACCGGTACTTGAAGTCCTTCAGAAGCTCTTTAATTCCGTCCTCCATGGTGGCATTACACCGGAGGCGTGGAGCAGAAGTGCGGTGGTCTTGTTCTTCAAGAAAGGTGACAACGCTCTCTTGAAGAACTACAGACCCATTTCCCTTCTGAGCCGCGTCTACGTGCTGATTTCGAGAGTCATTACGAATCGTCTCGCGCGCAGACTTGACGACTTCCAGCCTCCCGAACAAGCCGGTTTCCGAAAAGGCTTTAGCACCATAGACCACATACATACCCTTCGGCTAGTTGTACAGAAGGCTGAGGAGTACAATTTGCCACTATGTCTGGCGTATGTGGACTACGAGAAAGCCTTTGATTCCGTCAAAATTTGGGCGGTGCTGCAGTCCCTTTAGCGATGCCAAGTTGACTGTCGGTATATCGAAGTGTTGAAGTGCTTGTACAATAGGGCTACGGTGGCTATCCGAGTACAGAACCAGTGTACGAAAACTATCCAATTGCAGAGAGGTGTAAGACAGGGTGACGTCATATCCCCGAAACTCTTTACCGCTGCATTGGAAGATGTTTTCAAGCTTCTGGACTGGAAAGGATAAGGTATCAACATCAATGGCGAGTACATCACTCACCTTCGGTTTGCCGACGATATAGTCCTTATGGCAGAATCGCTGGAGGACCTAAGCACTATGCTCAATGACCACAATAGTGTTTTTTTCCCAACGGATAGGTCTTAAGATGAACATGGACAAAACAAAGATCATGTTTAATGTCCATGTCACACCTATGCCGGTAGTTGTTGGGAACACTAAGCTCGAAGTTGTTGACGAGTATGTTTACCTGGGACAGATAGTCCGACTAGGTAAGTCCAACTTCGACCGAAAGGTCAATCGACGGATTCAACTCGGTTGGGCAGCGTTCGGGAAATTACGGCACATCTTCTCGTCAGGTATACCTCAAAACTTGATACTGTACAACCAGTGCGTGATGCCAGTGATAACCTATGGAACTGAGACGTGGTCCTTCACTGCTGGCTGGATGAGGAAGCTCAAGGTCGCTCAGCGAGCTATGGAGAGGGCTATGCTCGGAGTTTCTCTGCGTGATAAACTCAGAAATGAGGATATCCGCAGTAGAACCAGAGTGACCGACATAGCCCAACGGATTAGTAAGCTGAAGTGGTAATGGGTCGGCCATATAGCTCGAAGAACCGACAACCGATGGGGAAGAAAGGTTCTCGAGTGGCAGCCTCGTACCGGCAGGCGAAGTGTAGGGCGTCCCCCCACTAGATGGAGTGACGACCTGGTAAGATATGCAGGAAGTCGATGGATGCAGGTGGCTCAGGACCGTGCTTTGTGACATTCTTTGGGGGAGGCTTATGTTCAGCAGTGGACTTGTGAAGGGCTGTAATGATGATGATGATAGTTTTAACCTTTGCATAACAATTTGAAACCCCGCTGACGATATACGTTTTAATTATCAAAACAGCGCCATCTATCATCAAATCAAAAAAGCCTACATTTAGTCTTTAGTAACTAATAAATTATATAAATAACTTACATTTATATGTTTAAATATTACATTAATAAAATTATTTTAAAATCCTAAGTCTTAATTTAATCGTTATTTCATTTTAAAAGTGCAATAATTAAAATTTATGAAATAATATATAAAAGTAACATCTATTATCTAAAAGCATCATGACATCATCCAGGGCTCGGAAACCGGTTGAAATTCTAAACCGGTTTAGGTCATTGACCCCAAAACCGGTTTTTGCGGAATACCGGTTTTTCACAAATTTCGGTTTAGGTAGTAAGAATTAACCGGTTAAAACCAAGTTTTGTAATATCCCCCTCTCCCTTACCCCGCTTGCACCATTCATTGTACGGCTGCCACTGTTTAATTCCCGAGGTTTTTAGATACATGCACGATATATTCATTGCATCAACGCGACTGCCTTGTGACGTAACTCCCTCATATTTTTTCATCTTTCCGCAACGATCGTATTATAAATAACAGATGTAAGTTCTGTTTCAATTAATTATGCGTTATCTTCACTTTAAAATTAAGTTTTGATATCAAGTTTAATTTGACGTTATATATTTAAATTGACTTTAATTATATTTAACGTATTCTATTAAAATTACGCTAGCATCTTTATTTCAATGTCCATTAGTTTTAGTAATATATCGCAATAAATGATGACCTTTCTTAACAGAACACAATATTTTTAAAGTTTATGAAATTATATGTTATAGTATTTTTGTTCTTTTTAGGACTAAAGTGAGGCAGATTAACAGATTTTTTTTTAATTATGAAGCTCGTAATTACGACCAACCTCTATCTCAGTCTTTGCAAAATTAATAATGACCACTTCTGAGGTGTAAAGTTTAACTAGAAGTCATGTCTAAACACGACAAAAAATTGTTTGTAATGTTCAGAGAATTCTAACAAAAGAAATTACCATTTTTCACATCTCATTAAAGCGAAATTGGAGCAAATCTTATCATGTTGTGTACGTGCAAGATGCTACTAAAAATATTAGTTTTTCTAAATAGAGTGCAAGGTAACCACATAGATGAAATTAAATTAACTGATACTGAAATTAATAAAGAAAAATAATTTGAATCTAACAAATCATTATGATTAAATTCGGCTATACTTTGCTGTCGACTGTAACCAATTACATACACTAAAAAATCCTGTCTTTTATTTAAAGTAATTATTAATAACTCTCAATTAACTACATCATCACAGATATATCTACGAACATGTATTGAATTATAAAAGCGAATTATTAAAAGTGCAGCCAAGTTTTCTAACGCCTCAAGATCAAAATAATATAGTAATCACTTTCGAATTTTTTACAAACTTTCATACTTTACGCATACGAAACTATTAAAAGAAATAAAATTGAAGTGTCTGTTCGTAACGTCAAAATAACAGATTTTTACTAAATACATATCATGAAATTATATAATTTTGTCTGTTTGTATGTGGTTACTAGCGTGACTGTGAATCATGATTTGGTCCTGGGTTTAAATCGTGTCCCAGGTCGGGCCAAGTACCGTTATTGGATTAATTTGGGTATAATGAGTGCTCTAGAAACCACCCTGATAGTCGTATTCAGCCCTCAATCAAGCACTTAGATTTTTTGGTTTTCTCGTCGTACGTTTGCTTATAGAAAAGGGGGCAAACGAGCATGCGGGTCATGTGATGGTAAGTGACTACTGCCACCCATAAATAACCGCAACACCAGGGTAATTGCAGGTGCGTTGCCTGCCTTTAAGAAAGGAGTGAGCTCTTTTCTTGAAGGTCCCTAAGTCGTATCGGTCCGGAAAAATCGCCGGTGGTTAACAATTCCACAGAGAAGTTGTACTAGGAAGAAAACTCCTAGTAAAACGCACAGTGGTGGCCCGTCAAACATACAGATGGTGAGGATGGTATCGTGAATTTTGACGCGATGTGCGTTCGTGAAATTTGGCGGCTGGAATTAAACCGAACAATTCCTCAGAGCACTCACTTGTTCTATCACCGGGAGGACCATCTGTCTCAAGGAGGTGTCGGATTTATCGTCCACAAGTCTCTCGTTAACAACGTTGTAAAGATTGAGGGTGTGTCGACGAGAGTTGCGTAACTTATACTCAGAATCACCAAACGTTATTCGCTGAAGGTCATACAGGTTTACGCACCAACCTCGGCACACCCCGATCAGGAGGTGGAGGAAATGTATGAGGATATCTCTAGGGCCATGCATTCCTCCAAAACCCAATATACAGTGTTAATGGGATACTTCAATGCAAAACTAGGCAAAAGAGAGAACGGTGAGCTGAAAGTAGGGAAATTTGGAATAGGGCAACGGAACCCAAGGGGCCAGCAGCTGGCCGATTTCATGGAGAAAGAGGGACTCTTTATGATGAACTCTTTCTTACAGAAGCGGCCTCACAGGAAGTGGATCTGGTCGAGCTCCGACGGTTCGACAAAAAATGAGATTGACTTCATTATGACGACCAGACGACAACTGTTTAGTGATGTCTCCGTGATCGCGAGGGTGAAAACTGGTAGCGATCACCGAATGATTAGAAGCACACTGAACCTAAACGTTAAGTTGGAGAGGTCTCGTCTAATGAAGTCAACGCTCCGTCCCCCTCGTGCTCTGTTCCAAAGTCCCGAAACCTTTCAGCTCGAGTTACAAAACCGTTTTCAGTGCCTAGAAGACTGCAATGAATTGGACGATATGAATGACAAGCTCGTGGAATCTGTCCATGCGGTTGGAGCTAAGTTCTTCAAGCGCCCGCCGCAGAAGAACACAAAAACTCTCCGATTACACTCTTAATCTTATGGCTGTTAGACGGGAGATGAAGCTACACTCTTCAACAGATTTGACAGCATACAGGCAACTGAACAGACAGCTCTTCAAATGCATGCGGCGGGACTTACGCAACTTCAATACAGCTTGTATTGAAGAAGCGATCGAGCGGAACCAAGGCTCCAAAGTATTTGCCAGAGATCTGTCTGCCAGAAAGAGCCAACTGTCAAAGCTGAAGACCGAGTGTGGCAGCATCGTTTCCGGGGCACCTGAGATTTTGAGTGAGATTGAGAGGTTCTATGGGCAGCTGTACACGTCATCGTTGGAGCCACACGCAAGTGTGAGTAACGATCCAAGAGCGAGTCTTATCCGACACTATTCCGAAGATATCCCGGACGTCAGTCTGAGCGAGATTAGAATGGTTCTCCAGCTCCTTAAAAACAGCAAGGTCCCAGGCGAGGATGGAATTACATCGGAGCTTCTGAAAGCGGGTGGAAAACCGGTACTTGAAGTCCTTCAGAAGCTCTTTAATTCCGTCCTCCATGGTGGCATTACACCGGAGGCTTGGAGCGGAAGTGCGGTGGTCTTGTTGTTTAAGAAAGGTGACAACGCTCTCTTGAATAACCACAGACCGATTTCGCGGCTCAGAAGCCGCGTCTACGTGCTATTTTCGAGAGTCATTACGAATCGTCTCGCGCGCATACTTGATGACTTCCAGCCTCCCGAACAAGCCGGTCTCCAAAAGCGCTTTAGCACCATAGACCACATATATACCCTTCGGCAAATTGTACAGAAGTCCGAAAAGTACAATTTGCCACTATGTCTGGCGTATGTGGACTATGAGAAAGCCTTTGATTCCGTTGAAATTTGGGCGGTGCTGCAGTCCCTTCAGTGGTGCCAAGTTGACTGTTGGTATATCGAAGTGCTGAAGTGTTAGTACAGTAGCTATCCGAGTACAGAACCAGAGTACGAAACCTATCCAACTGCAGAGAGGTGTAAGACAGGGTGACGTTATATCCCCGAAACTCTTCACCTCTGCATTGGAAGACGTTTTCAAGCTACTGGACTGGAAAGGATGCGGTATTAACATCAATGGCGAGTACATCACTCAACTTCGATTTGCCGACGATATAGTCCTTATGGCAGAATCGCTGGAGGACCTAAGCATTATGCTCAATGACCTCAATAGTGCTTCCCAACGGATAGGTCTTAAGATCAACATGGACAAATCAAAAATCATGTTTAACGTCCATGTCACACCTATGCCGGTAGCACTAAGCTCGAAGTTGTTGACGAGTATGTTTACCTGGGACAAATAGTCCGACTAGGTAAGTCCAACTTCGAACGAGA